TTCACGAACACAGGCAGAACGCGGGCACACAGTTCACCAAGGAGATCGAAGAAAATGGTAAGATACCTTTTCTAGACTGCTTGGTCACTCGCGACAACAACAAACTAAAAACGACTATTTACAGAAAACCGACACATACTATCCCGACCGATTACTAGACCAGTCTCCGTACAACCCGACCTCTCACAAGGCTACTACTCTCCGGACTCTGACGAGACGAGCGCAACTAGTTTGCGACTCACCTGACAGCTTACAAGACGAGACTGATTATCTTAACAACGTTTTTAGTAAGAACAATTACAACACGGACTTTGTTAAACGGAACACTCACTGTAACACTGATTCCAACACTCAGATCAACTCTGGCCATGTTACGACAGCGACTATACCGTACATCAGAGGCACCTCTGAAACTATTGCACGTATATTACAACCTTACGATATACGTGATGCACACAAACCGATAACCACTTTGTGGCGACCGCTTACTAATGTCAAGGACAAAGACAAACCGGAGGACAGACAGGGAGCAGTATACAAGATCAAATGCTGCGACTGCCAGGCTTCTTGCATTGGTGAAACCGGCAGAAAACTAAGCACGCGACTGACCGAACACAAACGAGCGACGAAGAATGGTGACGTCAACAATCACATTGCTGAACACTATTTAAAGACGAAACATCAAATTGACTGGGACTCTGCGACCTGTATAACGTATTCTACAGACTACTATCAAGATCTTACTTTAGAAAGCTGGTTTACAAACTTAGAACAAACGTCAACCAGCGCCTTGCAAACGACTTAATGACGAGATCAAGCAAAACTAACTACGAGAGAATGACAATTTGACCAACAATAGACGACTGTTTGACTGTGACAATAGACGGATCGAAACGTACCAATTACTGATTACGAGTCTTCATAGCCAATAACATCACGGCTTAACTGACAGACGACCAATAACATCGCGACGTAATTGACCAATCAGATCAATAACCAGAGTATAATGCCATCAACTGACACGATACAACTCACTTTGACTCTGAAGATGACTACCGCACAGGTTGGAAAAAAAAAAAAAAAGAAAAAAAATTTTATTTGCGTGGTAAGTGACCAATCAACAATTGTGCAATAAAGTGTTGACAGGCTAAACACGAGTGAACGTGACCCTAGAGTTACCGTTTTCCTTCTTTTCTTTCCTTCACTAAGGTTATGCAGTGCACGGAGTATTCTGAATTTTGACTAAATCTTATTTTTGCCGCTCTGAATCTAACATTTATTGCAGGTCAGAAAGCTTTCCCAGTGTTTAATGCAGATCGAGTAATTATCAGATTACCTTGCGGTCAAGGTCAACTTTCCAGAATTTGGAAAGTACAATGTGATTGGCTAAGCTTGGGAAAGGAATGTTGTCTTCAGTTGAGCAGGCGTTTGTGGGGAGGGAAGAAATACGAGCTCACCTAAAAACGACTGCGTGAGAGGCTACTTTCCAATAAGATTGTGCAATTTAGTTAGAGTTGATCATCACAGGATCATCCTGACTAAAGGCACAATAATACATTAGGGACTTTACGCAAATTGCTACAGTGACCTCTACTATGGTGATCGTGGTTACAGTCCTGAAGAGAGTATGTTACTGTTGCCCGTCAAATTTCAACTTTATGCAAGTGGCACCCAAAAGTCACTACAGGGCTTTTCGCTCATTTGGTTTCGTTGTTAGTAAAACGCAGGGAAGACTGAATTATTGCCCAGTGAACTAGAAGTGTCAAATACCTTCTTGATTAAGAGAAAAAAAATGCTAGGTTTTAAACCAGTGAAAAATAGGGGAAAAGTAGAATTTTATACTCATGTACAAGCCATCACATTTTGTGCTTCGGCTAAAGCTCATTATTTTTCTGGACATCACGCACACGGCGTCATTTTTGGACTTATTACTCCCAGTTGCCATAGTAGCGATCACTGTAGCAATTTGTTACTTTGATATTATTGGCATCCTGCCCATGAAGGGCAGTTAGTTGGTACTGGTCTGTCTGACAAGTATTTATCAACCTCTCTGGTTATTTTCCTGGCTGTTCTTTCTTTGCCTCTTTGACATGCAAGCCTCACAAAAGGCGTCAAGAACAGCATTGACGTTTCTTAGCTTTGACCTCTCTGAGCATAGTGGCCTGATGTACCTGGGTTGTGAATCTTTGGCCCTCTCTTCATTGTCTTCACTCTCCTCCAAAGACATAAATTGGATAGCATTGTGTAGGTCTAATAAAGCCTTTATTTTGGCTTTGTCATCTGGAGAAAGTTGTGCCTTGTCCAACACCTCTGTGTGATTCGTCAATTTCTGAACACCAAAAAAACTTATTTAGTCACAGTGGCATGACTACTATGATAAACATTTAATTAACATTTACGTTCTTCAGTAACAGTTTAGTCTGGTAAAATAGTCACCCTAACTATTTTGAATCTTTCGATTTGGTTCTTGCTCTTTACTCTGAGCAATTTACACTACAATCAAACCTTGCATATAAATGGAAAGGACACTGTTAACATTAAAAATGTCAAAGGGGGTAGGGTGTGGCCCTAGTGCATTCTATAACAATCATTAATTATGTATGCATAATACAAACGTGCAAAACATGTGTTGTGTTCTTAAAAAAATGAAAGAGCCTTGTGCCCTTAACCTGAAAGATCCAGGTACCCAGGATGAATGTGTTTGAACAAACTAAGACTTCCTTGTCGCCCAAGAGCAACAGTAATGCAACAGGGGCCACCAGGCACTGCCAAAGCACAGCTCTGTTGCAGGACAGGCTAAATAAATCACTAAGTG